CTGGCCCCTCCCCAGGCCCCTCCCTCTCCTCCTTCCCACCCTCTGCAGGCGCATTCTAGTCTCCAGCTCCTCACTCCACATGGCTCTTGGTTCTTTTGTTGCCTCACTGAGTGGTCATTTGGTGATTTGGAGGACAGACTTTCCTGCTTGGCCCCACCCACCTGACCTTTGGTGGCATTTATTCTCACCAGGCTACACTCTCTCTGCTCCTCTTCCCCTGCCAGGGGCCACCCAAGACCACCAGCCCTACCCCCAACATCCATGCAAGATGCAAATCAAACAGCCCCATGCACAGCTGGGATGGGTGGCGTGGAACACAGGGACATTTAAGGAAGGATATTAGCTTGCACCATGATTTTTAAGGCAGTATTGGCCAGGACAGGGCCCTCTGATCCCACTCTATGGTGGCGTGGAACTCTGCAGGAGGAGCTGGCCTTGGCTAATGTCCTGCCTTGGTTAAGCAGAGGGCAGCAAGGGGGGTCAGAGGGACCATCCCATCCAGCCTTTGCTCTGATTTCATCTGCTGTCTTTTGTGTCACCACTCTGGCCTCTTAGTGAACAGTGCCTACTAGGGTGGGCCCTCAGGAGTGGACCCCCTAGAGTGGCTGAAATCACTGGAGGCAGAGTCAACTGCTGAACATCACCGGGGCAGGGACCACGCCAGGCCCAAGCTCACCGGAGCAGCAAGCAGTCTCACACTGGCCGTGGCTGCCTCCTCCCTCCCAGTCCTTCCCCTCCTTTAGGAGTCTCTCTCCTTCTGTCTTCTCTCCTCCTGCTCTCTAAATTCAAAGCTGGCCTTCAGGTTGTTAGGAAGGTGTCTTTGTCAAGGAACAGGGCTAGAACATATTTTATAACAATAGCTTGATTTATAACTCAAAAAATATTTAGCTCTATGGTCTGGACCTCTATTTTCACTCTTGCTTCAAATGTTAGGGCAGCCCAGATCTTCTAACATGGTATAGAATTCACTCTGTAAGAGTGGCATAAGAAGACAACAATTTCGTGGAGTTGTAAGAGCTAAGTTATATAATTTCTGAGCCTCAGTTTCCTCATCTATAATATGGGGAAAACTGGAGTATACGTTTTATGAGGTTTAAATAGATGACTTATGTGAGGTGCTTAGAGCAGTGTTTGGAAGAAGATAATGTTAAACTTAAATGATTAATAAGCTAACGAAGGAAGCCTGAATGGGGGATTCTGCAATTGATGCCCAGCAAGGCGCCTTTCCAGAGCCTCTCAGGGCAGCCAATGGGTGGCTGCCTGCTCCAACCCGTGGAAGGGCTGAGAACTGGCAAGTTTGTAATCGTTCGCGAGTCCTAGGACTGAGGCTGGCTGGATCTCAACCCTCGGGCGGCATCTACCTGATCCTGGGGCAGAGAGTAGGCAGTGAAACCTGAACTCTCCTGTCATACGCAAAGCCAAGGATGCCTTTATTGAAGGAGAGGTGGGCTCTCCCAGAGACTGTAGCACCTGCAGAGACCATCAAACTTCTTCGGAGGATTCCGTGACCCAGACAGTCTCAGGTTGAGAAGTGCTGTTGAAAGACGTTGAAGGCTGCCACAGCACTGCCCTGGACCTCAAGCCCCCACCCCCAGCCCTTCCATGCCACTCATAGCTGAGTGGCCACCCAGAAGTCCCTTCTCTGCCCTTTGCCCACTCCTCATCCCCCAGTGCCCTCTCACCACTGCTTCCTCCAGGTAGCCGATCTAGATAAAGCAACCTAACCCTTTTCTCTGAAATTCCCTGGCATCGTCTACAGGGCTTTCTTCGTCCCTCTTGTCTGCCTTACACTGCTCTCCTGCATTGCACCTGTCTTGTCTCTTGCTGGTTGTAAGTTCACTGAAGGCCAGGACCTTGTCTTTGCAGCCTGTGCTCCATTCCTGCCCCAGAGAGGGTCCTTCACTGACACGGCGGGGTGCGGAGGGGGGGTGTCAGGAGCCCTAGCAGTGCTGAGGGGCAGGACGTCGGGAGGATGAGGGAAAACAAATCAGAGAGTGACAAGAAAAGCAGTCCTCGTTACACCGAGCCTCTCTTCCCTGGGATGCAGGCTGCGCTCTGGTCAAGGGGGGGGTGCCTTAGTGAGGAGAAATAACAGCAACGGTACCAGACGCTGCACTCGGGGAGCTTTTACCTCACTGACATTTCACAACAGGCCTTTGAGGGAGTAGGTCTTCTTTTCACCATTTTACAAATGTGGACTCATGGTTAGAATGGTCCACTCACCTGCCCCAGGGGAAAGAGCTGAGGCCCCACCTTGCCTGTGGTGGACTCCCTAAGCCAAGTGTGATGCACACCCCTGGGTTCCTTTCCATATAGCTCAGCAGCTGCCAAGGGGAGGGGAGCTTAGCTGCTCCCTGATAACCTCACAGGCCACATTCTGAGACCTATGCAGACGTTTTAGTAGCAAGTAGGCACAGAAGAGTCTTGCAGTTATTCTGAAAGTTCCAGGAAGGTCCAGCTGTCTGTCTGTTTGGGTGTTTCCAATAGTGCCTCGCAGGCGAAGTCCACCCAAGGCAAATGCCAGGCTGTTCCAGGCACAAGATCAGGCTGTCTATGGGAGCTGGACAACCAAGACACCTGCCAGACAGCAGGAGACACAGGTGGTTTACAGACCCAGCCTGGGTGCCATTCCCAAGGGAGAAAGACAAAGGTCATCCTGGATTTTGGGGGGTAATGTTTATTGAAGTATAATACATATAGAGAGAAAAGCACAGATCATAAGGGTCCCTGCAGTGATTTATCACAAAGTGAACACACCTGTTTGCAGCCCCCATCTCAGAAAACTTACCTGGCACCCCAGAAGCCCTTTCATGCCCCTCCTACTTGTCTAGTCTCGACCTCTCTTTCCCACAAGGGCAACAGCCAGCCTGATCTCCAGCAGCCCAGATTTCTCATTTTGTACTTTACATAAATGGAATCACAGTCTGTACCCCTCCGTGCCTGGCTGCTTAAACTCAGTGTTACACTGTGAGATTCATCTATGCCGTGTGCAGTTGTAAACCATACATTCTCGTGGCTATCTAGGGTTCGATTGCATACATAGTCCACAACGCATCTACCCATTCTACAGTTGATCGGCCTTTCTGTTGAGTCAAGGGTATGTATATTGGGCTTCAGCAGATACTGCTGAAGTTTTTCAAAGTAGTTGTACCATTTTATACTCAATCCTGCAACAACTGGAAATTCCAGTTGTTCCACATCCTTAGTAAAACTCAATATGGCTGCCTTTTTGATTTTGTCATTCTGGTGGGTGTGAAGTGGTATTGCAGTTTGATTTAAATTTTACTTGAGGAAGATTGTCACTGAGCCAGCATCTGTGCCAATCTTCCTCTGTTTTGTGTGGGATGCCACCACAGTGTGGCTTGACGAGTGGTGCTAGGTCCCCGGCTGGGATCTGAAACTGTGAACCCCGTGCCGCCAAAGCGGAGCGTGCGAATTTAACCACTAAGTCACCAGGCCAGCCCCTCTTTTCTAGTGTTCTTTATGCTAATAACAAAACCTCCAGCTGTTGATGGGAGGTCAAAGACAGCTGAAGCACATGTAGTAGCCCTCTAAATAAATACTGTCGGTTTCTTCAATCAGCTGTCCACTCCTGGAGGGAATACTCCTGATTAGGACAGCTCATCCTCCTCAGGTATAACTTAAAACATACCACCAAAGTATTATCACTTTCGAGGCTAAAGGACTTCAAAGTAAAAAACAGACTTCATAACGTGGCTTCTAAGCCTGCTCTCCACTCATCTCTCTGCCGCTGTGAGCACTATGACAACTTTGTGGTTTTGTGGTAATTTTATTGCATGGAGATCTTCAGGCTGCTGGTAACCCAAGCCCTGGACTGTACAAGGAAATGGAGATGTGCAATCGTCCTACAGATTCCCCTCTGCAGGAAATCTGTCAGACCTGCTGCTTCTCAGTTTGGGGCACAGCCATGCAGACAGACTTTCCTGTTGCAGGATGTTGGAGCTGTCTCTTCTGGGCCACTAGGCAAGGGAGGTGTGGACTGGTCCCATTTCATTCAGTGAGATGCTTGGAGATGTCTTCTGACCTTCATAGAACAGAGCCTCTTAGTTTGGTTCCTCTGGTTTTTATTTACACTCATAAGACAGACATACTGGTGGAGAGCTTGTTTCTCCTGGGCTGGTCACTTACCTGGACACAGCTGCCTGAATGAGAGAGGAAAATACGTGATAAATATAACCTTCTTCTTGGGCTGGGTCTGGAGGTCCACGCTGACGTCTCCAAGTAGGCAGGCGACATTGCTGAGAGGGGAGACCCGAGAGGAGAGTACGGTCCAGACAGTATTCCAAAGCCATCTGAGGGCTGGTGAAGCAGTGATTTGAGGGCTGAAAGGGTGACGAGTTGGCCATCCCCTCACCTTAGGATGACACGTAGTAAAACTGCCGTCATTTCCATAACTTTTAAGGAACAGCGAGTTTTGGCTAAGTCACCGCCATGGCCATGAATGTTGGCTGAGCAGGAAAGGAGGGCACAGGCTAAGCATGGAGCCCCACTGGCCAGTCTGTGCCCAGGCCCAGCCTGCAAGGGGCTCCCAGGCTAGGAAGCGTTTCCTGGACTCCAAGGCCTGAAGTTCTGAGCAGCTAGGCAGAAACTGAGTTTTGAAGAGGCTTAAACAGGAGCTTCTCAGGGCTCAAGGCCCAAGGAGATCCAGCCTTCGCTCCTCTAGAAACGAGGGTGCTGCCTGCTTGGCTTGCCTGTCTCGCAGCACTCCACGGCAGCTCATGACAAGATAGCCCAGAGCCGCATCCATCGCTCAGACCCCCTTCATCCCTCTGGTTGGTGGTGCCTGAAGCACAGAGGCCAGCCAGGGGCAGGCACCGGGAGTGCGCAAACACAGCCCTTTGTAGCTTTTGTGTATCTTCAAAGGCTAAGTGGAGAGCTGAACCCAGGTTTTGGAATTTGTAATCTCTAAGGTACAAAAGGCAAAAAGCTTCCTTAGCGCCATCACAAAGGAGATAAAAATGCTCATTGGGACTGAGAAATAAGATTTAATGTCATTGTATTTATTAGGTTCTGAAACAATACACATTCACATCCTTTTGAATACAGTACATTTGGCACAATAATGTTTACAATGAAATAACACTAATGAATGGCAAGAGATTAAAATTACATCCAGAAAAGAAAAAAATGTACAAATAAAGCATCACAATACAAAAAAAACCCCTAAAGTTGAATACATTTTATATTTAGCCAGAATTATTTTGCACATAATTTAAAAAGAGGTAATTTTTTTTAGCCTTCTTTTTTTTTTTAAAAAGCAAGAATGCATTGCTTTTTCACCTTTGGAGGAAAAAATTATGTCTCCACTTCACAAAGTCCATAATGAGAGAACACAGGAGAACAGCTATCCTTCATATATTTTTTTGGCATTTTTTTTTTGCACTCCTTTTTTTTCTTAAAAAAAAAAAAGAGCTGGAAAGATAAGAAAGAATAGGCAGAAATGTAAGTGTGTCTGCTGCCAAAATCTTGTGAAAACTAAAATGAAACAATGAATCCTCAAGAAACACACAAGCTTTTTTCTACAAACTACATGGGATTAGAATCTACCTGTGCGAGAACTTGGTCAGCTCCAGCCCCAAGCAGGAGGCATCCCAGCCTACCTGGCTTTGGATACTGAAAGGGGGTGACTCTGGACCAGGCAAGCTGCTGACTGACCTCCTGGAGCTGTCGGGTGGAATGTGTTATTATTTGACTTCCCAGCAAAAATGCCAGTTGTCCTGTAGGAAGGGCCCTACCCCCGCTGACATGGGAACACCACCAAGCCCTTGGACAAGGCCATGTGGCATTGCAGTTAGAGCTTGCTTGGTCGTTCGAAGTTCCTCACGGTAAAAGAAGCAGAGGAAGAACAGAGAGCAGTAGTGACGCATGAGTATGACGGGCAGTATTGTCATGTCTTCCTAAAAAATGAGATGATGCCACCATGAAGATGTTTCTGTGCTTGTACTCAACTCCAGAAGATAGTCTCTCCCCAGTACGTCAAGTTACCGAAGATAAGTTAATCTACTGTTCTTTGTCACTTCACTGGTATGCCAAACACACAAATTGATAAAGCATAATATTTGAAATTACTATAAGAACAGATAATAATTACACCTGAGTTTTTAAAAAATAAAAACAAAAGAGAACTGAACGTCATCATTAGGAACAAAGGCTATGACCAGCCAGATGCAAATATGGACATCGACTCTCTCTGGGCTCGAGCTAGTCTCAGTCCAAGCTTTGAGACCACCGTTGAAAACATTCCTTTCTCTTCCCATCTCTATCAGGGCATAATAGAGCACGGGAGACCTGTACGTGAGATTTAATATAGCTTAATATATGTTTACATCTTTTAAAATAAATCAAAATGAAATAAACAGTACAAAGGACCCCCCACTACCCCCGAAAAATGATAGAAGGAAACACACCTTATCTTTCGGTAACTTGAACCAATACACTTACAGAGTATTGCACCTGGACATTATTATAATTATTCTTTCATAGACTAAAGTTTTATAATATGCCTGAACATGCAGCAGTTGATACCTCTAAATTCAATGAATTAATTCCACAGGCCTTGCAGCAAACACTATATACAAAAATCTCAAATGTACAAAAGGCAAAAAGCTTCATTAGTGCCACTTTGCCACTCACAAGTATATATATTTAGGGGCAGCTGGGAAATCCACGTGCAACAGTTGGAATGGATTCCATTCCCTGCTCAATCAGCTCAGTAAAATAGCTAGTCAAACGACCTCCGGGAAACATATACACAAAGCCACAGAGAACCCTTGGAAATCAAAGAATGTAACACTGTTAGCATATCTACAGGAGGTAACATCACATCCATTAAATAGTGTCCACATGAGTTGCCATTGCATGTCACACAGAAACAAAACTCCGAGTACATCTTGCCACATTGTCAGTTTTCAAACTGAAGTTACTCTTCAGTCTCTTGATACCCTCTGCCTAACCCATGTTTAGCCTCATTCTGCTTGTTCCAAAAGCAGATATTTCATATTTAATTTTACATGTTTAATGTTAAAAAACCACGACACAGTAGTACTACCATTTTGTAGAAGTGTGCAAAAATAACACACCACTGCAGAAAATAAATAGAGTTTATGCTGGGAACTTAGGATGAAACTGGAAAGAGAATTTGGGGGCCAAGTTTCGCTAGAACCCAGGGTCTTGGCCATCAGCGCGGTGTTCAGGCAGGACTTGAATAATGAGGAGCATTACTTGCTTCCTTGTCTCTCAATTCATGTAGCCCTCATGTGCCACTAAAGCATTAATAGCATAAACCTTGGACAATTGGTTTCTCATTGTATGCTAGCCCTTTAATATCTACCTGTATTGATACTAGAATTTATATCTTTTGGCCAATTAGAAAGAAAATTTGATAATATATTTTTCAAATGTTATTAGAGTTCAAAATCAAATTTCCTTTTCCACAAAAAGTGATTTCTTCCATGAGATACATGCTTACACAACTTTGGCATGCCCAAAAGCTAAAACCAAAGCAAGCAAGAAACAGCCATTCCAGAGCAAACCCACACAGGTAGCTAACCTGTGCACCTCCCAGTCCCTCTCCTTCACAGGCACACCTCAAGGGTGCCCACCCTCACGACGAAGAAGCACCAGTCTCTTCTCCTGGACAGAAGGGCAGAGGGCGGCAGGCAGGGGTCTGGAGGGAGGAGAAGCGAGAATTGTCGGGACTCGATGTCCGATAGCAGAGCCAGAGTAGTCTCGTTTCCTTTTTTTTTTTTTTTTCTTTTCAGTAAAAGAAGTGAAGTTGCTTCACTGCCAGGAGGCCCCAAGGAGTTGAACCAGGCTTGCCAACAGACCAAACACGGCAGTGTGTCCAGCCAACTGCTGACCCAATACGATTCTGCATTACTGGTGAGACAAGAACCAAGAGTGCCTTCTGGTCACCAGGTGGAAGGAGGGAGGAGGTGGCCTGGGGTAAGGGAATGCAATAAATAGAGAGTGGACAAGGGGTTGGGGCTCTGGGGAGGAGAAGTAGTTCAAGACCTTCTGAGCCTCTGGCAACTAGGAATCTTCTCGGCACCCCTTCTTGCAGCATCACCAAACTCCACTTGGAGCGGCTTCTTAGGGCATCAGGTCTTCACCAAAGTAGGAGAATCCTTTGAATTCCTCCTGGTTGATCTGCTTCACAATTGCTTCGTCTACGAGTGTGAGTACTGGCTCTTCCCGGGTAAAGTCTTGGTCAAAGTTATTGACGTCTCTTTTGGTTTTCTGTGAGAAGAAAAGAGAAAGCACTGACTCTAGGCTGACCTTCCTCCCCAGGGCCCCCCACTGCCCCGCCCCCAGGAGTGGGCATTGTGCTGACCAGCGTCTCACCAAAGCAGGCCTCTAGCTACTGAGAGCAGACACAGGGCTGTTCCAATGAAGTAACAATGGATGGCCCCAGGACTGGGTGACAGGGGACTTGGAGAGCAAGGATGAGTCCAGGTGAGAAGGAAGAAGGGGTGAGAGGGTATGATGAAAAAGCAGGGAAGTGGGATTCCCATAGACGTGTGTGTGTGCACACACGTGTGTGCCTGTGTGTACACATCGTGTGTGTGTGTGTATGTGTGCAGGTGCATGTGTAGGGTTTGTTTGGGAGAGTGAGATGCATGGCTCCCATCTCATGCTTCTCCTTCCAGCTTCTGCCCTAACCCTCTGGCTCCATCAAGACCTCACTCCTTGTGACTCAGGAATCAAACTTGAATCCCCCTCCCACAAAGTCTTCAGCGGTCTTTCTTTCCTACAGGTAGACCCCCCATAACCTTGCCATGCCTGCTCCATATGACATCCTTTCTATAAGTAGGAGGATGGGTGGGGGGTGGGACCATCTTCTGGGAAGCCTGCCTTGATCCCCACCTGCACTTACCAGGAAGCGTATTTTGTGTTCCCATATTATTTCTACTAGCACACTCACCATGCTGACTTGCAATGAATTGCTTAGGCTTTTGTCTTGACCAAGAGCTCCTTAAAGTCTTATTACACCTTAGGTTCCCAGGAGTAAGTGTCTACCTAATGAATGAACATGTAAGAAAACCCGCCACTGACTCCTCAGCTCAGAAGAACCCAGTTGGAGGTTCAAGTTCCCAAAGGAAGGCTTATAGGTCATGGGAGGTGAAGGGCAGCAATCAAACAAGCACTGGTTTGGGGAGAAAATCAGGAAGTGTAAATAACGCTCTCTGCCTTTAGGGACTTCCAGGTGAGTTGGGAGCCAGTATTCCTGCCCGGAACACACTGTAATGGTTAGAAAAACTTCCACGTAGAAGTTGGGGCTTGGCTGAGACTTGAAGAATGAGTTACAATCATGTTGGCAGAGATGGGAGGAAGGCAGCTTGGCAGGGAGAAAGACGGGGCAGGAACACGAAAGACATACACTCGGGACAACGGGTTCCTTCCCCCGCTGCCTGGGGCAGAGTCCAGCGTGGGGATGGTGGGAGGTGAGGGAACAGTCCCACCGCAGGGGCCTTCAGAACCAGGTGCCCTCTCCCCCACAGTGCACAGCACACGCTGAGAAGATAGAAGGTGGTCTGGCAATGCTTTTTCAGACAGCGATTAATTGGTGTTACTCAAGATTAGTGACCTGGGTGATGGAATAAACCTTGTGGAAAGATTAGCATTCTTATTTGTAGGAGGAATAATATTAATATATGCCATGTTCTATGGAAATCAGTAACCCAAAAGATGTTAATAATGAGTCTATCAAAAATGTGGTTTTGAGACAAAGCTATATTTTATACCCTGCTCTTGGAGATTCATCATGCATGTTGGCAAATTAAAAGTTCTGAGACGTCATAGAACCAAGAAACCTGGTTCACTTTGTTAAGGCCAGGCTTCCTCAGACTTGACATAAAGCTTTTTTTTTTTTCCGAACAGCTTCTTAATCTTTCTCCTGGGAGCAGAGTTCTGCAGAACATGGTTTGGGAAATGATGCTTTACAGTTTACTAAGCGTCTTCATGTTCATTTGCTTATTTGATCCTTAGAATAGGTAGGTATTATTATCCTGATTTTACAGAAGAGGAAACTAGCTCAAAGAGGTTGGTGACTTGCCCAGAGTCACCCAACTAGTTAAGAGCAGAGCTGGACTCAAATCCAGGTCTCAGCATGATGCCTTCCATGGTGTGGAATGTCTGGAAAGCTGGATACTGGAGAAGTGAGAAGACGTAGCAAGGGTTAATTCAACCAGGAGATGCTTAGGTCAAGCCACTAGGCTAAAAGAAAGCCAAACAGGCTTGCCAGTGGGCAAGCATGGTGGGAGAGGGCTGTGGGTCGTGGAGAGAAGGGATAATGTGGACTGGGTGAGCTCGGTAGGGGAGTTTCTTTTCAAATTGCCCCAGACTGAGGTCAGAATCAGATGGACAGCATTGAGCAGAGATGAGCTAATCTTCCAATCTTTCAGCACGCATCGGTCCAGCTTGCTGTCTCCTCTCTGAGCTTCAGCTGCATAGTTGAGTAGGTCTCAGAGACCTTGGAGGGGAGACAGAAGGGGGACACAGAAAACCCAAGGGATGGAAACAAGACCTGCAGCTGAATGATGTGCATATTGTCCCTTGAGATGGGAAAACTGAGGAGTGGCTTAGTCATCTCTACCAGGAGGGCTGGCCCCAGGCAAGAGGACGATCTGTTCTCTGTCTCCAGTGTGTACAGAGCAAGAGGAAAAGGGGGACCCTGCGTGGAGAGGGACTTCAGAGAGGAACAACAAAGCTCATCCCCACAGTGACGCACGCCGGAGACTGGAGGGCCAGGGCCTGGGGAAAGGGTGTGGTGATGCCGCTTCTGGAGATCTCTCTCGAAAGAGGGATGGGTTCACTTTGATCGAGGAAGGGTTACAGAGTATGGGCCCGTAGTGCTTGGGGAAATGAGTCCAGAAGGAGAAGTAAGGTGGGGAGAAGGTGGCAGTGACTTGGGAAGCATTGAGTTTCGTCAGTGACCAAGAGGCATCTTCAGTGGAGGCGGAGGGGGAAGGGAACCAGAGGGTAGGAGGGGTGGGAGTTAAGTGAAGAAGAGAGGCGAGAAATAGGGCAGGAGGGAAACTCAATCTGTAGCATCACCCAGCATGGAACATGCCCGGACCCCTGTGTTTTCAGGGCAGTCCCGCCTCTTTCCCAGCTTCCTCTCAAGGGCCACTAATGAGGGGGAGCATGTGTACAGAGAACTCTGGGAGATCTGTGAACGCTCTGGCATTGGCTCTCCCTGTTTATGGCTCTCCCTGTTTACCTACCTGTTTGTGCTTCACCTTTCAGTCATTAGTGTCCATTAGTCATGGAAACTGGTTTCATTTCCTGAGGTCAACTGAGCATAGTGACGAAGCTAGATTCTACAGGATGTTCGAATTTCACAACTTGCTGATTGCGTACCAGGGAACGAGGCTCAATTAGGGACACCATTCCCAGAGGACCTCTAGCTCCATAGCTGGCTAGCTTGAGGAGCTATCTAGCTCATCTCTGCACTTTTCAGGGGTCCCAGAATCATGGGTGGCACTTGGGCGAGTGTGCCATTCTTCAACAGCTCTACAGAAAGACATACTTGGCTCACCCACCCCCTTAAGCAACCTGGCCCAGGCCCTATTTTCCTTGGAGACACTTTAGGTGCATGTCTGTTACTCATTTCCAATTCAAATAATCAACATCCCCACTATGGGCAATTCCCGACTATTAACCTTAGAGGCTTGGGAACTTTTCCAAAGCAAATATCTCTGAAAACCCCATCCCCTATTAATAGCATGTAGGCAGCATAGCGTCCTTAAATTTGGAGAGGACTAGGGATTATATCCCTTACTCACTGTTTTCATTCTTTGAAAAGCTGCTGCCTCCCTCACAGAACAGGCACAAGACTCGACTCCCAGGTTCCGACTGGCAAATTCCCAGAGACACTCCCTGTTTACCTGGATCTTCCGTCTTCCCATTTGCCTCCCCTAATGTCTAAATGTCAGGCTCTGAGCTCACACTGCACAGCCTGAGAGGTGACACTGGGACACATGGAACAACCTTCTAACTCTTCAAATCTTATCTCCTCCATGAAGCCCTTCCCACATCCTTTTCCCATGCTTATGGGCAGCTGCATGGAGTAGCAGAAAGATCACTGGCTGACCTCTCATCCCGGTACTGTCCCTTCCTGGTTATGACACCATGTGAAGTCACCCTTTGAGCCCTGGTCTTTCCATCTGTAAAATGGGGGTGGTAACAGGCACTCTATAGGTCACCTTGAGGACTAAATGAGATGCCAGATGTTAGGTGCCTCAGGGCAGACCCAGACATATCAGGAGCATCCAATAAATGTGAGTTCCTCCCTGCCTCTGAGTCTTAGCACCTGAGTCCCATGGGCACGCATCATGCACAACTGGGCTGTGTTACCCACCACAGTCCATGAGGTCTGCCCATCCATGCCATAAGCTTCCTGAAGGCAGGGACTGAGTCTCACATTTCTCTGTATGCCTCCAAATCCTGAACCAGTGCTGAGCTGGGGCCCACCTGAACATCCTAGTGCTTCCTCCAGTGATTGAGATTCTTCTAACGGTGCCTCACTGCTCTTGGGATCAAGTCCCAGGTTCTTACACTCACCCACTTCTAAGGCCCTTTAGGATCTCGTCCCTGCCTACCTGCCCAGCTTCATCTCCGGGGCCCTGCTCAACCATGAAGCTCTCTGGACTCACTGGCTTCCTCCTGCCTCTAAGCCTTTGCACAGCTAATCCTCTGTCTGGAACACCCTCTCCGCTCCTTTCCTTCTGCCCCATGTCCCCGTCACTGAGCTGATGACCCCTCACCTCTCCCATCTTGGCTTAGATGCCCTTCCTTCAGGAAGCCTTCCTTGTGCCTCCAACCCTCTTATGGGTGCCCCATCATCTCCCTTAACTCTTATCACAGCCCTCATTACACCAGGTGTCCAACTCCTTTCAACTAAGCTGGGGCTGGGCCTGGGTTGAACTCGACATTCCATTCCCCGCCCAGCACATGGCCTGGCACAGAGCGAGTGCTCAGTAAATATCTGCTGAAACAATGAATGAAGGTTCCCTCTTGCTGCTACTTTATCTAGAGCCAGTAGAGTGACCTTGGTTCAGGACCAGTGGCAGCTGTCGTGCCACAGGGGTTTTTCCTTTGGGGAAAAGAAGGCAGAATGGGGAGGGGGCTGAGGTCTGACTTACGAAGGCCCTAGAGTAGGGCAGCCCAGACCATTGCTACCCTGCAAGGCCCTGAGAAACAGGCAGGCTTACACCTGGTGAATGGCCAGCAGCAGT